GTCATAATTTCTTCAATTTTCAAACCAAACAGGTTGTAGTTCAAACCTTTGAGTTTCTGCGTGTATGTGGCATTATTTTTTTTCGAGTGAAATGGTAAAACACTTGTTACGTGACACTCAGAGCAGCTCTGGAGATGAAGTTCATATGTAGTGTCCTATATAGTGAGACGGCAGATGCTGAAAATGAACATCACGCATGCTAGAGTATGTGTAGTAGACCAAACTGTGCCGCACATTCACTCAAGTATTTCATATTAAATAGCAGTTTTTTTTGTGATTTATATTCACTGACAATAGTCTATATTGCTTTTAGATTTATGCTTTGTAATAAGCCTTACATGAGCAACAAAACATGAATGAAACACTACACTGCATTCCACTCTCTTCTTTTAGTGCAAATGTTTTTATTGCGTTTTAACGGTGTCACACCAGAGAAGTCAGTGCAGTGTAACTCAGAGCATTTGAATTACATGCTGTAGTAGTATGTTTGTTTACTGTTACATAGTCACTTAATCCATTGCTAAAAAATGAGAGAAAAACACTGTCTTAAAAACAAATAGTTCCTATTACATTGCCTATGACATTTTGCACAAATCAATTTCATCTTGCCTGTTGCAAAATGTTAATTTTGTTAAAAGCTCTATTGCAAAATGTTAATTAATGTTTTTTTTAACATAATCAGTGAATAGACTACTAATATCTTGAGTGCTCTTTTTATTAAAGTGCAGTTTATTAAATGTCACTTGGTGTCTGAGTTGCTTTCTTCAGGGTAAGCATACCGGTAGAGTTAGGTATTTAAATTACTGGTCTTAAATGTTTTATCAAATTAAAATCAAATTGAAAACATTTAACTAATAATTATACTGCAAGCAAAGCAAGATAAATGTTGGTTGTAAATATAATTAAATTCTTAAATGGGTTAAGTCGTGGCCTAATGGTTAGAGAGTCGGACTCGTAACCCAAAGGTTGTGGGTTTGAGTCTTGGGGATAAATGCAGAGCACTAATTCCGAGTATGGATCACCATACTTGGCCACATGTCACGTCACTTCACTTACTCAAATCTGAAAAACTACATTTAAAAATTTTTCCAATATAATAAAACTTTTTTCCTGATATTTATTAATAAATTATTAGGTAAAGTATTTATTATATTGAACATTGTTAGCGCTCGATTATACTTTTGAATGAATCAATATAATTTTTTTATCTCTAGTTTTACTATTTGAGTAACCAATATTTTATTAATATTTTACCCAATATTTGTTTAGCTCTATGTATTTCAAGCTTAGTAGAGTACAATGTCGAAAGCTTAAAAACACTAACATCAAGCAAATATACTCAAATCGAATGAGAGCCATGTCTATTGAGTGCTTTTCATATGATACACAGAGAGGCTATGAAGAGCGCTTCAAATCAGCCACTCGGGAGGTTCCATTTTATTTCGGATGGCAGCTCACTAGGTTTTGGAACAGAGCCAGTCAGTCCCAAGATGTTTAACAAAAGCTGACCTGAAATATCAGACAACTCCAATATTCAACAATTACATCACTGCATCTGGCAGACACTTCTATCCACCGCGACTTACAGTGAATTTGAGATGTGTATTATTAGACATGTGTTTCCCTGGGAAATGACCTTGCCATTGCTAGCACCATGCTCTACCAGCTGAGCTACAGGAACACTACACATCCTGCGAGCACAATCCTGCATGCTTGCACTCGCTGCCAGGGGGGAATATCAGTGCGCTAGATAAGAAAGAAGAGGGAGACACAGATCTCGTTTCTATGGAGGCTGTTCCACTACACCCCCATATACTCACATATGAGAGGCGGCACTTTGTGAAGGATTAGCCGTATAACGCAGATGGCCTCTCAGATGAATTGTCTTAAAATAAGATGGGGTTTTCTGTATTGGAGCAGAGGAGGGTGTGTGTGTGTTCTCTTGGGGACTCATGAATAGAAAGCAGGTTGGGGGATGGCACACTTAAATTTTTTTGGAAAGTGTGTTAAGGATGTTGAGGGGGTGGGGTGCCTGCCGCACTTTCCAGAGACGGTCACTCACCCCCAACACTATCAGCCCACCCGACTGTCCACTGAGCGAAAGATAGAGGGAATGAGAGACATGGAGAGAGAAGTAAGAGATGTCTCTTCAAACACACGCATTCACATACAATAAAATGCAGAAAATGTTGACTGTAGTACAAAATGTTCATTTCCTGATCAAACTAGGACTGGCAACTGATTCAAAATTTGAATAATAGTAAAATAGTAATATAGTGAATTATTATTACAATTTAAAATAACTTAATTTTTTTAATATATTTCAAAATGTCATTTATTCCTATGTGGGCAAAGCAGAATTTTCAGCATCCATTGAATACTCCAGTATTCAGTGTCACATGATCCTTCAGAAATCATTTTAATATGCTGATTTGCTGCTCAAGAAACATTCATTATTATTAATGTTTAAAACAGTTGTGCTGCTTACAGTAATATTTATGAGAAAATCATGATACATTTTTTCAAGAATCTTTCATAAATAGTCAAATCAAATACGATGGCATTTTAGTGTTACGTAAAAAAAAACGAAGATTACCAGATTAAACTTGTAATATTTTGATTGTTTAAAACAGTTGTGCTGCTTACAGTAATATTTATGAGAAAATCATGATACATTTTTTCAAGAATCTTTCATAAATAGTCAAATCAAATACGATGGCATTTTAGTGTTACGTAAAAAACGAAGATTACAAGATTAAACTTGTAATATTTTGAGAAAAAAGTAAAAATTATGAGAATAACGTCGTAGCAATATGAGAATAAAGTCGAAATTATGAGAATAGTCTAAATATTTCGAGAATAAATTAAAAATATTTCGAGAATAAAGTCGAAATTAATAAATCGACTTAATTATCGTAATTTTGACTTTATTCTTGAAATATTTTAACTTTATTCTCAATTTTGAATTTATTCTCGAAATATTAAGACTTTATTCTCGAAATATTAAGACTTTATTCTCAAAATATTTAGACTTTATTTCGTATTGCTATGACTTTATTCTCGGAATTGTGACTTTTTTCTCAAAATATTACGGCTTTAATCTTATAATCTTAGATTTTTTTTTACGTTGCACTAAAATGACATTGTAATCAAAAGAACAGCATTTATTTTAAATATTGAAAATATTTTATCAAATAAATTAAATAATTATTCATTTTTTACAGTGCAATGTTTTAGAAAAGCTACACTATCTGTAATAGTAACTATATTCTTAGCTATTTGGCAAAGTGAAACATTTCAAAATTTATTTGACATTTTATCAAATAAATAATTATTCATTTTTTTACAGTGCAATATTTTAGAAAAGCTACACTATCTGTAATAGTAACTATATTCTTAACTATTTGGCAAAGTGAAACATTTCAAAATTTATTTGACATTTTATCAAATAAATTAATTATAAATTTTTTACAGTGCAATATTTTAGAAAAGCTACACTATCTGTAATAGTAGCTATATTCTTAGCTATTTGGCAAAGTGTTAAAATTATTTCCAGCAAAGCTGACATCAGTCAAAAAGAATAGTCATTTGTTTGATGTTGTTGTTTTTTTTCAGACTTCAGACTTCGTGGATACTGATAAATTGTGTGCAAAAATTCAGGACCTTGAATTAAGCAAGTAAAGATGGTCCACTTTGATTTCATTATGACTTCAGGTAGGTTGAGAGGCAGAGACCCTGCATGTACTGTGAGCTTTGTACAGCATCCAGCAGTGAGAGACGCTACAGAGGCCAAAGAGGGACACGTTTTCATGTCCCCCGCTGCAGTGCGAGGCGGATGACAGATGCATGTGCCATATGGTGAACAGGACGATACTGTCCCTCTGGTTTGTGACTGTGTCTGAATGAATCAGATCAGAGGACTGCCCTGTTGCTGAGGTCCCCAACACACAAGGTCACGGGGTTGATATGAAACATGACAAAACCATCAGCATAAAGACGATAAACCGAGTCATTTCTCAGGGTGCATGCGATGCTCATAAGACAAGCTGACGAAGCATTGCACAACAAAAGGGAGAAGAAGACGAGCATTCCACACATTACCAAAGAAGTATATATACACACACACACACACATAGTATATATACAGTGTATATATATTGCCACATTTTTATAAAAAATGTATAAGTGAGCTTATAAAATCTAAGCATAATTACAAATATGAACATTTAATATACTGTACATTTACATTTATGAAGATACATTTGTGTGTATTACGCTTAATTTCATTCATTATATCATTACATTAAAGCCATTTCTGATAGCATAAATACTCTGGGTTTATAATAAGTGTGTGTGACTGTACAGATAAATCAAAGCTGAGAGAAAAAAGGCAAACTGTGAATGGATCATAAACTCCCTCTTGTGTCACTGAACAGGTTTCACTCTCCCATTAATGAAAGAACTTCAACATCTCAGCCTTTCACCGCTGCTCTAAATGGCACAAATCTCTTCATTAGCATGTTCCTCTATGAATCACTTAATGAATCAGATCATCGTTCTGCGACTGAGAAATGATATTTTCCTCTGTAAAACCTCAGTGTCTCAGTGACACAGCTTTAGCTCGTCTTTCACGGATACACCCTCCTCGTTCTCTGCCAGTAGCAGATAATAGCTGTGCTTTTGCAGAGTCAGGTGTCTCTATCGACTGTGTGATGGGCTTATCAGTCAACATATGACCTGTCTGCACAGGAAAAACCCTGTTAAACTGCTCTGGATTGTTTCCTCGCCTCAAACAATCACTATCAAGTATACAGTTTCATCTACAGACACCTTAAAACCAAAGTAAAGATGCAGCAAGTATGCTATCGAAACTGTGGTAATACAATAGCCTACTTGTTTTTGCTTTAAAGCTAATAAACAACATGATGACAGACAGAAATCTTATAATACTGATATAGGTGATATTTGCTTTGTTTAATGCAGTGATCCACTATACTTACACTTGTAGTATTCTCTCCTCCTGGTTCGATCATGTATGTGTGGTTCCCATCAAAGAACATCCCACTAGAGAGAAAGAAAAAGAGAGAGATGGTGATGCATAACTAGTAAGTTAAACAGTTTAGTGATCATTATATTAAAAACTAATGTTATACAAAAACATACTAATTAAAGAGCATTTCGAACTGATGTTGAATGTTACTTACAATCACATTTAAATTGTAATTTTGCTGTTATTTTTTTAACTAAATCAATCCAAACATCAAGACCAACATTTTAAGAATTTAATATAACAATCATTTTAACTAGAAAAGCAAAGTTTGTCAACAAACTTTGAATGCTGGTTTGACAAAATTTTGATAAAGTTAAAAAGCATTAAAGTTTGGAGGTTTATATATGCCTTATGGAGAGATACTATGATGAATTGAAAGGTTGAAGTTCTTCAATTCAGAATTCTGCACAACTCTTGCTCGATACTGCAGTATACAGTATATACTGTATATTGCCTACTAATATAGAAAAACCATGCAATAAATAGTTGTATGCTACATTGTTACTCATAAACCTCATCATGTTGCATGATTAATTCAGTGTGGGGCGTCCAGTTATCATCTTGGAAAAGTGGTTACTATGCATTTTTTTACTGCAATTTAGTGCACGAATGTTTAGCATAGAGTAATGAGATTCATCCATCTAGATGTGTCAGTGCTGACTCTCCAAATGCAAGTAATTCTCACACTTGTTATGTACCAATATACTTGAGGAATAATGAGGCATAGTGGAGACTGCGTATGTGTGTGTGTTTCTGTGTGTGTCCAGACGTCTCTTTTAGCCTTGAGACATGCAGAGAGGATATCATTCTCTGCTCTGATGGAATTTATCTTTTAGATCTATCAGTCGGTGACTCTCAGAGAGCCTCCAGACGGTGCCGAGACACTCAAGGTGACTTCTGAAAGCATTAGGAGGATGATACAATGCCCTTTAGCCTGACTACATTCATAAATACAGAGCGCCCTCTCACACATGAATGAATCGTGAAAGAATTTTCAATGGGTAATGAGAAAATAAAAGTTCATCCAGACTACACTGATTTTTGAATCATTTAGGGAAAATGGACAGCTGGATAGAGAGAGAGATAGATATATAGATAGCGACGCTGCTTGCATCCGGTGTAGACATAATGTATCTTAAACCAACCCTAAGCCAAGTTTGTATAATAACAGAACAGGCGACATAACTACATCACTAATGGCTTTAGGTCAATGATCCGCAAGAGGTAAAATAGCTCTCAGTCGATGAGGGGTTTTAAAAGTGTCTGCTGGAGGCTGTCATCAGCAGCCCATGACTGTTTTCAGAGCGTAACGCTGTTTGTCTGACCCGTAATATGACATTAAGATAAAGCACCATAAACTGCAGTCTCAGCAGCACCACTCCCTCCCTCTCACACATATACACACTGTTCTCATCACACATAAGAGACAGTATCATTTCCTCTCAGTATTATCTCCTCTCTTAAATGTCACACTTTATATACTCATATTTACCACAGTTCAGTTTGGGGTTAGTAAGTTTTTCGTTATATTTTATTTAATTTTTTTTTACATCTTTTTAACAATAAATACATTTATAATGTTACAAAAGATTTCTATTACAAATAAATGCTGTTCTTTTACACTTCCTATTAATAAAATCATTAAAAAAAATGATTATGGTCTTTACATAAATATTAAGCAGCACAACTTTTTTCAATATTGATAATAATAAGATTTTTTTTTTGCAGAAAATCAGCATATTAGAATGATTTCTGAAGGATCATGTGACACTGCAGACTGGAGTAATGATGCTGAAAATTCAGATTTAAATCACAGGAATAAATTACACTGTAAAATATATTAAAATAGAAAATTTAAATTGTTATTTTAAATTGTAATAATATTTCACAATATAACTATTTTTACTGTATTTTTTATAAAATAAATGCAGCCTTGCCAGCATAAGAGACTTCTCAAGTTATTAAAAACTTAATAACCCCAAGCATCTGAGCAATAGTGCAATTTTTAATCATGAGATGTTTCCCTTTAAAACACGTTATACTATATTGTTTATTGCAAAGAACAAACCTATATTTAACAAATATACATGTTCTTTTATACTAAAGTGCATAATTAAAAATTATAATAACAAACAATTTAACATAGGTCAGTTCCAGTATTAATTTTCACTAATTTATTTTGGATTTATTATTTAATCATAGTTTTTGTCTGTTGATGAAAATATTCTTTCAATTTAGTCAATATTTTATCATTGTTTATTTGTTTTAATCGATTTTACTAAAATTACATCTATATTTATCTGATCAACTAAAATGAGTACACAAATATTTTATATTAATTAATTTAAACATATATCAACATTTAACCATTACCATGTGAACACTGTCCTGAAATAATAACTTTACAATGAGTACACTGTATTGTAATACAATATGTTGAATTATTTATTCTTTTGTCCTTTAGTGAATTCAAATAAACAACAACAGCAATTCATTTCGTCCTAAATATTGTGTGGATGTAATTCTTTTGAGGAGAAGATATTTAGGCTGTAAATGTTTGAGCGTGATGACTATGAATGTGAAGAGCCCTGCCGCTCTATTTCTGAGCTACATTTGACCTGACTCTGTGCATTCAGATACAGAGCGAGAGACAGAGAGAGAGAGATGGATCTGACCTGACTCCTTCTCTCACTAAAAATACAGACGGAAAGAAATGAGCTATCCCAGAGGGCCACGCAGAGAGGCGGTGTATGTGCGTAAGGCTCTATAGAGACTAACTCAATTCTCCTCAGGCACACGAGTGGCTCAGCAACACAGCTAGGTTTACTTCAGCTATGCAGAGAATACAGCAGGAAGCTAATAATACAAACATAAATCTTACAAACACAACAAATATTACATTTTCAGCTTGCAGCAGTGAACCAAAAGGCCAGACGTGATGCAATGAGTATTACAGCAACAGTACAAGGGAGAACGACAGAAACACACACATGCAGGCACAAAGAGCGCTGAGAGCATCAGTGTGTGATATGAGAGGAGGATAATAGCATGCTGTAATTATACAGCTCTATAATTGTTGAATGGGATAATCGCAGCTTTGGCCTGCTAACTTGTGTTTATTTATGAATGTGTCTTAGAAAGAGACAGACAGTTCTGTGGGCAACTGCAAGTAAACAGCATGCAGTCAAAACTAAAGCATGTCACGCTGCTTTTGTAAACCGGTGTGTGTTTGCGTGTTCATTCAGACATGCAGCACATCTATAGAGGGACTTACTGTAATCCATGGCAAGTTGAAAGCGCCACATATGACTTCGGAATATCACGTACTTTCCCATGGTAGTAACAGTGTTCTCCACCCTGCAGGGAGAAACAAGCAATAATTACAAACAGCACATATTGTTAATGGCTTTAAATGTGGCTAATTCAATCATAATTCAGTAGGAAAATTCAGAAGAACCATCCCTTTTATAATATTAGTTTTATTGTTTTGTTTTTAACCCAAGTGGTGCATAATGTGAAGCAGCTGTTGCCGGATTTGTTATTCATCCGTTATGCATAATCATCATTTTCTTCCATCAGTTTCCAAATAAAAAGTGAAAATAATCAAATGAGACAAGGTACATTTTATTTTAAGAGTTATAATTTAAAAAATTAACTATATATTGTTTTTTGTTGTTGTTGTTTTTACAACAGTTAGCTCCAGTGTTCCAAGAGCTACTAAATTAATAAAAGTAAATGTAAATTTGCAATAGTAGTGGGGATTTTTCAATTACTCTTTCTGTATGTTACATCGTTACGCCAGTAGGTGGCGACAAGTGACTATCATTATAAGTGAATCACCGACTCATTCTTTGAATTGATTCGTTCTCTAAGAGTGAGTCACGGGATCATTCATTAAACTGATTAGTTCATAAACGCTGATTCATTCAAGAATGAAAACACTGAGTCACTGAATCATTCATTCAACTGGATCATTCACAAACGCTGATTCATTCAGGAACTAAACGCCACTGTGTTACTCAAAGACACGCAATGGTTCTGTTGTGGCTTTGTTTGGCACTATTTTCTTTGGCAGTTAAAAGTAACTGGCATTATTGTGTCTAAGATGTACGTTGTTACTTAAAGGGATAGTGTGATGAGAGGGGCGGGGCCGAGAGCCGTGGGAACGGAGCGAGGCTGGTGGAGTAAATGCTAATGCACGACACCTGCGCCACTCACCGTTCTCATACATCTTGGATGCCCTGGGGGTAAGCAGATAAATATCAAATTTTCATGTTTGGGAGAAGTATCCCTTTAACATTAACTTATTGTATATTGAACTTGTATAAAAGCAATATAACTAATAAGGCCAAGATCATGAATCTTTGTATTTTATGTTGACATTAAATGTTTAAATTCTGAATGTGTGTGGGTCAACATTTATACTGGCCACTTTTGTTTGAACTGAAGTGATCAGAAGACTTGTAAGAGTATTCCTGAGTGTGTATGTTATTTATGAAATGTTTTAGTGTAAGTGCTCGACTGCCATTATGGCTGCAGGTTTTCTCTTCCTGCTTTTTCTCAGAGGACTAAAGCTGCAGCATTTACCAGCATATCAATTTCATTTCATCCCTCTCTCTTTCTCTCTCTCTGCACTGGATAAAAAGCTTCATATGCAGAGTTTTATCCATTCCTTTACTGCTCTCTTTCCTCTAGCTTGTTCTGGAGCACTTCTGCCTCTTTTTTTCACATGTAGCACTTTCTGTCCTCAAGAGTTCTCTGCTAATCAAGAGCTGAGGGCAGTCTCTACCACACACACAGAGACATTCCTGAAGAGTGCAGTTGTTGTAGAGACAACCCCTTTCAGACTAATGACCCAGCATGCATTAGTGCCTAGACTCACAGAGAGACAGGCTGTGTCCAAAATGTAAAAAATGCTGCTTTCTCATGTAGTATATACAGGTGCATCTCAATAAATAAACTACTTCAGTCTGTGTGCATTGAATTTATTTAATACATGAGTTTCACAATTTGAGTTGAATTACTGAAATAAATGAACTTTTCCACGACATTCTAATTTATTGAGATGCACCTGTAAAGGTAAAAGGTATGAAAGGATGTGAATTTGGGATCATCTTTAACATGAGAAGATGCCTGAAATTGTATAAAATAGATTGTCGTTCAAAATTTTGGGGGCATTAAGAAATGTATGCTTTTATTCAGCCAAGACACAATAAACTGATCTTTTTATTTATCAAAGAATCTTATAAAATGTATCACAGTATCCACAAAAATATTAAGCAGCAAAATCAGTTTCCAACACTGATAATAATAAGAAAAGTTTCTGTAAATTCAGCATTGCATCACAGGAATAAAATTACATTTTAAAATATATGAAAACATAAAACTGTTATTTTAAATTGCAATAATATTTCATAATATTTCTGTTTTTGCTGATCAAATAAATGTAGCGTTAGTGAGCATAAGAGACTTCTTTCAAAAAACATTTGAAAAAGTCTTACTGACCCCAAACATTTGAATGGTAGTCTGTTTATTATTTGTAGTTTTAAACACACTAGTATACATAAAAATTATCAATGGCATCATAAGTCAACAGCTATTTTCTCAAGATGATTTTTTATCACAGCTTCCAAAAACATACAGGAAACAAACGTTGTACATAGTTTCTCATCTAATTTTATAGAATATTTATTTGTATAAAATGTATTTTTATTTTCTATAAAAAAAATTAACTTGTGCAAACATTAGCAAAATGTGTTTTCTCAAACTTATTCATAGTCATATTTTATATTTAATTTAAAATATTGTTTTTCCTCCTATTTACATGTAGTGTTTCTTCAGCAGATGAAAATATATAACGTAAACTATATAAGGAATTATTTTTTTTCTTTGTAATAGATAAAAATTCTTTGAGACGTTTATATTCAAGAAACTCTAAAATACTAATGATAATCTTAAAATAATAAAACCTACTGTTCCCCTTTCCTTGTGATTTCCTTAATTATGATGTCAGCATGTATGTTTTAAAACCAATTAATAAAACCAATTATTTTTATGTTGTTGTGGTCAAACCCCTATAGATATGTGGTATCTCACAAAATAGCAAGATGTCTTCTTTTAGATCCACCAATAAGATATGGTCTCAGAGAAATATGCATGTAGGGCTTCTATAGATATGATAGTGTTTTTGTATGATTCATATAATTCCTTTGTATTTATTAAATCTGTAGTTAAACTAAGAGGTTATTCACCATTGTAGTGGGGAGATGAAGCTAAATATATCTGTGTTTCTGTTCTAGAATCCCTTCAGTGACTCTCTTTCTCTCGCTTCACCCTCTGCCTCTTCATCCATCTCTCTGTTATTCCCTCCTTTCTCACAGAACCCACCTCTCTATTTTTTTTCATTCATCCATAAAAGCAAAACAGCGCCTAAAGAGCCCTTGTAACCTTACATGCACAATATTTCCTCAGGCTTTATAGGCTGGGTTGTGGGCGTAAGGCCTCTGTGGATCTGAATGTCTTCACTGAAGCCTTCATGACAATCAAACTCAGATCAATAAAAAAACATAAAACATGTTAAACGTGCTGTATCAAAGTTAAATCATAGAATATGGGCCCTTTAGTTTCTAAAGTATAACAGAGAACCTGGGCACGTCCATTCCACTATGCATAATCTATATAAAATACACACCTTGATACAATGATGGGTGTCCAACATGCAGCACACAAATAGGACACTGTATCCCTGCTCCTGTGTGAGTGTGCGACAGGAACAATCTGCCACTGGGCTAAAACAAGCAAACACCTTCTGCTCTGGGTGTGATGTGTCCCATCTGAACACACACGTGCCTCAGTACGCTGACAGAATGAAGCTGAGAGTCCCAGAGTGGCTCAAAGACAGATCTGATCAAACTATAGTCACTGTCCCAGAGTGAAACACACAGTCATAGATTGGAACAAAGGGGGCCAAGGCATTTAAATGAATTATTCAGGTAAATGTTTACTGTAACATTGAAAAGAATTGGGACAACTTTTCTAAGTGGTAAAACCTCTGGTTAAGTGCTACCAACCTTATTTGTGTGGGAGTTTTTAAGCTCCAGAAAACAACATCCAATATCATAAGATCACCTAATGTTTTTTGGTTGTATCCACCTTATTCTTCAACGCGGAAGTAAGCCTATGGCCGAGACTTCCGGTTCATTAGCCGCTATAGGAAAATAACGAGAAGAATAACAACATGCAGTAAACAGTAAAACTGTTTGCACTACAAACCAGTGTGATCATAATTAAGATAATACATTAAATTAATAAGGCAAGACACACCAATTTGCAATATCAAGCAGCAAAACGAGCTGTTTTGTACAGCTAAAAATAGCTGGACGCGGATGACACTAGAAGCCAGTCCCATAAAAATTACAAATGGCTGCACCCACTCTTACGGCAAGAATAAGGTGGAGACATTTTTTCAAGTATTTTTGTGGATTAATCATGAGCTAAAGGTATAAGATATTTCTGGTCTAAAGCAGATATTTATTTGATATTGGAATGACAGTTTGTACTCACTTTGTTGACAACTGAATTCCCCTCCTCTGATATGTGCCTCTCAATGTAATTTGATGATAGAAGATCACTGCAAAAAAGAGCAAAAATACAGTTGGTAAAAAGTTTTACATTTTCACTAAAATTATTAATGAACTCATTAAATTCTATTCTACAATTTTGTTATTATTCTGAGACTTTTAAATAAAATATTTTAAATAAAAAAAATCACGTAAATAATTAAAGAGTACAGAAAAATTCTCGCGTTTCCTAAAGAAAATAGCAGTGCTTGCGAAGCATCAAAAGAATAAATGTGTCAGTTAAGATTTTAAGCTTTGGTTCAGACTGCTATGTAATGGCAGTAAATGCATTAGATGCAAGAGAGGAAAGGCCAAACAGATTTCAAACAGTATGTAAATACTATAATGATACGATTAGAATTTATGCAATACCTCAAATTTCATAAAGAGGTGGAAAGCTTACAAAAGCCAAAAACATGGTGTGCTGTATATATATTATAAGATGAAGCTTTAAAAAAAACTTGCTGAAAATTTCTGGAGAAATAGAAAATAAAGAAAAATAGACTGCCTGATGAATATCGGCACTGTAAATATGATTCATTATCCTCCCAAACACTTCACTCCTGGTGATCCTGGCATCACACATTTAATGAGCAGATCAAATCAACACTCATGTCACTCATACATTCTGCTTATCTAACAGAGGACTGAAATGGAACAGAATCTGGAATGGAATCTGTGTTCCAACACTAAGAGTCATGAGCACAGATAACCTGCGGAGAGATCCACGGCTGATTTCATACATCACAACTCACTAACACTAAGTTGTGTTCAAGGACACTTCAGTGTGTGGCAAAGTTGCGCTCAAGAAGTTGTTCACAAACTGGGGCGAGAGATTCACTGGAAGAGCACACTGTTCCCCTGGAGGAGGATACTGAGTGACTGCAGCATGTAAATAAAACCTATAGGAGCCAAATGATACAATTGCAATCATCACAAAATGGCAATGTAGCAAAAAACAGACTGAGCGCAGGAGGAGAGACGGGTGAAAGTGTCTCGCAGCAGGAGATCTGACTGTGAAATCAGTTACCGTGAGCTCATCGCTAGGACAATCACAGCATGACATCAAACCAGCCTTTAAAGACAGAAACACACATCTTCAACAGCAGGTGATTAGCAGGGTATTTATGGAGCTGCAGTGCTGTAATGGGCAATACAAACAAGTTTGCGTTTATAGATTCATTCTGTGGTAAATGCAAATGTACATCAAATAATTGTGACTGTGAGAACTAGAGGACTAACAGAGGACAGGACAAAACCAGCGGACAGAGAGAAAATGACAGTAGCAGAAGAAGATAAAGAGGGAGTGATAAAGTGGGATGTCAGAGGAAAGAAACATTGTGATTGATGATAAGAGCTGCCTTTGCACACTCACACACACACACAATCATATACAGTTGACACCCATCTTTGCACACTCACACACACACACACACACACACACACACAATCATATACAGTTGACACCCATCAAATCGGCCTTCCCTACCTTTATCAGACAATGGTGGATGAATTGAGAAAAATGTAAAATAAAATTAAATAAAAGTTTTATTGTTTTTTGTTATTTCACATATTTGAGACAAAATGGGTCATTATGTCACTCACAACATCATAAACAAGATAAGTCAGTCATTCTCTATGCTAAAGTGCATCTACCACTGTGTTTTTGTTTCTTATATTTTCATTTTGGTGACAATGCAATTAATATGTTACATATGTGTCATCAAATTAAGTTCAGGATAATAAATATTATAATAATTGTAACCTTTGTATGTATATGTGTATATATATTAGGGGTGTAATGGTACATGCAGGGCCTAAAACTAACTTTTTGCCACACCTGCCAATGGCCGGTGACATGATAAAATCTACCGGCCAAAATGTTTTTTTTACCGGCCATGAAACTTTTTGCAAAAGCAGGCTGTTATTACTACTACAATGACTAAACATATTTACAATGTCCTGCTGGTGCATTTTCCCTCAGTTTTCCCTATTAATTATAGCCATTCAACATTACAGTATAATTGAAAGCCATTATTTTTAACATTTAATAGACTCTGAAATATATAACAACTTTTAATTTAAGTGATTTTAAAACAATCTTCACATTAACTATATTATATATGCATAAACTATACATATTAATCTTTATTCAAGCTACAAAAGTTAATCAGCGACTAGAACAGTCTAATGATTTCTCTTTTTCTTTTGTTCTTTGATTTACATCAGTGACAGAATTCAGCAGGTTTCACTTTAAAATCAGCGCTGTCTCTTTAAAACCTGATGATCTCTTTAAAACTCTAATAAGACTACGTTTACAAGGTAACTCGCCAAAACCGCGCATTTTGACATAATTGTGTGTGTTTTCGTGCGTTGAAGCGCTACTGGTGAGCTGTCTGAAGCGGCTCGGTGTATGTGTATAGCAGAACGCGCAGCATTTCAAACTATACTTCACTGCACCGTTTAAGCGGCGTAACCCCAGGTATGTGTCGCCGCATTCTAAGGTTATGAAGAATAAAGAAAGGAAAAATTAATCTTCCGAAATGAAGCAGCAAAATCTTCTCAGGTAAAAGTTATTAGAACCGTGTCTAGGGACAAGCTGGCCATCGCACTGCTCTGACCTTATCAGTCCGTTTGTATCCTATTATTTGATTCGCTCTTGTCGCTTATGACAGAACAGCTAATCACGATGATCTTGTCTTCGGAAAATATTATTTTATTCGCTTATGTCAGAAACAGCTAATCTCTTTAAAAACTGGCTGTTGTTTTCACTTCATTGCATTGTTATAATTCGTGAAAGTTGTACCCGCCAACTGGTGACTGATACTGTTACATATACTCACCAACGCTGATTTTTACTCGCATTTGGCGCTTGGCGAGTGTTAATTTTAGGCCCTGGGTACACGTATTCGTACTGAAAAGTTTCAGTACGGGTCTTTCGGTTCGGTACGCATGTATACCGAACAAATACAGCATTGCTTTAACCACTGCACGAGTGGAACTTCATTGGAAACTTCCAGTTTTATATTTTGTTACTTTTAATAAGAAACAAAGTATCATCTTTCAAATATGTCCATTTTTTTCCAGGAAATTCATACAATAAAATGACGTTTTGACGCTCTTAGATGTGGCGTGACAATTTGCTGTATAAACGCCTCAGTTCAAACGGCAGCACGAAGCACAAGTGAGAGTGATAATCCCTTCCCCTAGTTTTAACACAAAATAAACATGAATGAATTTTACAATTTAGAAGTTAATTTGAAAACTGCATTATGTGCAATTAACATGTTTGCATACATTTTTTTTCAAGCTGAGTGTTGATTATTATATTTAAAAATAAATAGTAATTAAATTTAAGTTTGGGCTCTGTTGTTAATTTTAACCTTATGTAAAAGGGCTCCCTATAGTTCAGAGCATAAGCTGAGGTAGATTTTTATCCCTAAGAACTTTCAATTGTAATTGAATTTATTTAAATAAAAAAAAAATGTTCAGTAAACCACTGTTTAATAAAAAATGTAAAAATATGTATAGTTTTTTTCCCCCTCCTGTACCGAAACCATATGGAACCGTGACCTCAAACCGAGGTACGTATCGAATCGTCATGTTTGTGTGCCATTACAGCCCTAATATATGTGACCCTGGAGCACAAAACCAGTCTTAAGTCACACGGGTATATTTGTAGCAATAGCCAAAAATACATTGTATGGGTCAAAATTATAGATTTTTCTTTTATGCCAAAAATCATTAGGATATTAAGTAAAGATCATGTTCCATGAAGATATTTTGTAAATTTCCTGCCGTAAATATATCAAAACTTCATTTTTGATTAGTAATATGCATTGCTAAGGACTTAATTTGGACAACTTTAAAGGCGATTTTCTCAATATTTTGATTTTTTTGCACCCTCAGATTCCAGATATTCAAATAATTGTATCTCGGCCAAATATCGTCCTATCCTAACAAACCATACATCAATGGCAATGGAAAGCTTATTTATTCAGCTTTCAGATGATGTATAAATCTCAATTTTGAAAAAAATTGACACTTAAGACTGGTTTTATGGTCCAGGGTCACATATATGAAAAAATATATTTATTCAAATATTTATCATTTTTCCTTATATAACACTTTTTCAAGATATTCAAAATATATTTAATATTTTTTTCATGCAGGGCACCTTTGGGGATCTCAGTTGCCAATAGAATCAAATACCTGTCATGTGTTAGTACTGTCCCAGTCTAAGGTGGAAATCTGCAGTGTATTTTGCTTTGTGAAATGCGAAGGTAAAGGCTGATAACAGATTTCTGCTTTAATTGTTTTGGGATTTGAATTATTTATAAGGAAAGCCCCACAATTCCCCATCCCATTACAATCCATCCCTCTTCGCACACACCCTGCCCTACAAACATTTTAATATGGCGCTGTCACATGACTACAAAATGGCTCTCATTTCTCATGTAAAGCTTAATGGACTGGTCCATTGTATGAGACAGACAGACACAGAGAGAGCGAGACATGCTAATGAAAGAAGAGAGGGAAACCAGAGGAATAGAAATGAAAATGTTTACAGAAGAGAGAACAGATTGTGTGTGAAGTAGTGCTGTATTATCTGTGTGTGTGTGTGAGAGAGAGAGAGAGAGAGAGAGTGTGTGTGTGTGTGTGTGTGAGAGAGAGAGTATGTGTGTATAAGAAATCTCTGTCTGTTTTCTCTCACACACCGGAGGCCCCGACATGTGCGTCCGCTCACCGTTAACAGGCTGTCAGAGCGAGTCTCATTGCTGGGATGCTTTGAATCTATCACGTCTTAACTTAAGCGCAGTCGGGCACATTGTGTCCGCCAGCTCAAATCTGTGGGTTAAGGAGAGAGAGAAAGAGAGAGAGAGAGAGAGAGAGAGAGAGAGAGAGAGATAGAGGTGAAGAGGTTCTGTTACAGAGATTTTCTCTGTCCCAAAACCTAGTGAGCTGCCTACCTGGACAGCATTTTAAAGCATCATGCCATAATTATGCTGCT